ACACATAAAAGAATCTTTTTTTATGTTAAATATTTTCACTTTGGGTTAGGAAAAATGTCAAGTTGAGGCTAATTTCGATATGCGACTCTATACAGATTGCTTTAGAAATATTGTAAAGATAAATTGAATTTCGAAATGCTGGCCTTTATGGATCGATCCTTTATTTTCGGCATAAGAGTATTATTTATTTTTCCATTACAATACAATTACAAATTATATTCTAACCTAATTTACCGAGCAGGGTGACGATAACCATACGACCGTTGTAGTGTAGCAGACCAGGATCTCTGCTGGGAATCGAACCCACAACCACCAGACTGACAGGCTAGCACACTACCAACTAGCCTACCGGGGCACCCAATATTATTATTATACACTCCTTTTGTGGGAAGTTTATCTGCAATATCGATATGCGGACCTATACGCCTTAGAAATGTTGTAAATTTTTAAGACTTTATGGATCGATCCTTTCGTCACTTCCAATGTTCACTAATTTTTAGAATTATGGTAAATTTTATTATCATATCACTCATTTACTAAAAGACTAGAATAATTAAATATTCGTTTTTTAATTGAGTACAACAAAATATACCCCTTTTAAAGTTTTTCGTATAACTTTACCTGTACGCACAAATATTTGCTCCTAATTATGTTCTTCAGAACATTCAAAACAAGTATAATACACACAGCTAAAACTCAAATAATTTACATTGAATGCATATTTTTATATACATACATATATGTAAATATCGTCATTCGTAGCAACTTTTAAGAAATATTATCACAATATAAATGAACAAAAAATGCCTTAATATCTAAAGAAAAATCGCTAGATTTCCCGCTAATAGCTGAATCATATTTTCCACCGCAAAATGGGATTAAAAATCGCTAGATTTGACGAGAAAATAGCTAAATTGGCAACAGTGATACTGTTGAATTTTCGGGAAACAACTTGAATGTTTTTGTTTATTTAAGAGAGTTTTTATATTTAAGAGAGAATGAGTACGTTGGTGGGTTGTTTATGTTGAGTCAACATTTATACCATTGTTTTTTGTTATTAATAAACAAAAAATACATACATATGTATGTACATATATAGGTACTTGCATACATACATATGTGTAAATAATAAACTAAGTATCTGTGTATATCTTTGAGATATTTTACGAATGGTAAATTCTAGAACTTTCTACACGTTTTCATGGTTTGTTTATAGTTTTTTTTTAATTCACGTGAATGAACTTAGTGTAGTTTTAGTTATAGTATAATCATTGTAAAATATTTTTGTATTTTTGAACCAAATTTTGCAAACAAATAACATAAACAAAGTGACGGCAAAAAATAATGGATACAAGCTGTATTCCAAATACATACAGTGTCTCTCATAATTATTCGAATTTGGGTAAACTATAAAAAGAAACCAAGTTTAATAATATATTTTGTGTGCAAAATAAATAAATTAATTTGTTATATTGTCTAGATAGTCGTTATGTTTGATATCACGCTTTTTAAAACTTGAAAAATTTGCATTGACTTAAATTAATTATGGATTTTTAAAAAAAGTCCATGAAATTGCCTCTCAAAAGTATACGAATTTTTCCTGTATTTCATATTTGATCATATTATACGCAACACAAATTTTAGAATCGAATGGTTTTTATGCGTAATATTGTTTTAAGGGGTTACTATCCACGGAAAGGATATATTTTTGGACCATTTGGTCCACAATTTTGGGGAATTTGTACCTTTTTTCAAGTAATATCATTAAAATGGCGATTTTTGGCCATAATTGTAAATTTTTCTCCTTATTTCCAGAGATAAAACAAAAATTTGATATTGGGACTTATAAGACCCCTTGGGGTATATAAAAATAATATTTTTTGTTACAAGAATCTGTATTTAAACGTTCCAAGATAAATTATTCGGATCATTCTTCTGTCGCTAATTCAATATATTGGAACTTAAGTCCATTTTTATAATACTAGGATCAACTATTTTCGGGGAAGTTTTCTGGTATATATTCTTTTAGATATCAGCTTTTATACATTTTAAGTTTTCAATGTGTTGTGGAAGTGTACAACTCCAAAACATGCCTCGAAGAAACACCATTCAAAATAGTAAAATCATTATTTTTAGATACCAATGGCCTCCATGCTGCATGGCACGATATCATTATGATCTAACTCAAAAATATTGATATATGTTTAAATATTATTTACTATGATCAAATTAAAACCAAAATTTTGGACTTACAGTGTTATTGTAACGGGCAACATAAGCGTGAAAGTTACGAGTAGTAAAAACTGAAATCTACTATATAGGATGACGTTTTATTAAGGTATGTTTTGGGGTTGTATACCGCTATAATATATTGAAAATTTAAAATATATTAGTGCCAATATGTACATGAATATACACTAGACAACTTTGTCGGAAAATATCGTCCCTAGAGGTACGAAAAGGGACTTATGATCCAGATAATTCAATTAGAAACTGAAAAACGATACCAAAAATACATCTTGGAACGTTTAAGTACAGATCTTTATAACAAAAAATATTATTTTTAGATACCCTATGGGTTCTATTAAATTCCAATATTAAATTTTAGTTTTATCTCTGGAAAAAGGGTGAAAACATTACAAATATATCCATGCGGTCCCCTTAAAACAATATTAAGCATAAAACCATGCGATTCTAGAATTTGTGTATCGTATAATATGATCAAATATGAAATACAGGAAAAATTCGTATACTTTTGTGAAGTAGTTCCATGGACTTTTTTTAAAAAAGCACAACTAATTTAAGTAAATGTAAAGTTTTCAAGTTTTAAGGGGCGTGATATCAAAACTAAGGACTATCTAGACAATATAACAAATTAATTTATTTATTTTCCACACAAAATATATTATTAAATTTGGTTTTTTTCATAGTTTACCTAAATTCGAATACTTATGAGAGACACTGTATGTATGTATGTACATACATACATACATTAGGAAAAAATATAAAATTATATTTTTAGATTCAGCATTCTTTGTTTGTATGACGAAAATAGATTATATCAATTTTATTTTTAAAGATTTTTTAATATGTTTAAATAATTTTTATATTTTTAGTGAAAATGTTGTCATCAACTACAAGAAATCAAAAACTATTTCGTGTGCAATTATTACTAAAAATTATTTAAATTTTCTAAATAAATAAGTATTAAACAAATAGAAAAGATTTGGCTCAAAACGTTCATTTAGGAAATTAAATCAGAAATTGTAATAGTTTTTAGTTATTACTCAATCCATAAAGATTCCTAACTCATGTCTCTGTAACTCTGATCGATGATCAAAATGACAAACTTTTGACCACTGCAGTCTCATTGGAAGAGAAATAAATAAGAATCGAAAATATTTATTAAATTCGTACAAATATTCGAAAGTAACCTTGACATCGGGGAAACAGCTCCAACAGAGTTTCCGAATAGGGACAGTTGGCTGGATCCGATAAGCTGTTCGAGAGATGTTCGATGGATATTGGCATAGTTATAAGAATTACCTTTAAACTGCCAGACGAATGTAGTGCTATACATGTGGAAATCTGGAAAGCAAAGGAACTGATATTGAATCACATTAATAGGGAGTCTGTTGTGATAATTTATGTCGATAGTCAGACTGACAATCTTTGGCCGATTATGACTCGGGTCGATGGCTATATCTGCGACCGTTTGAATAAGACCCTCAGCCCAAATTATGGCATACGATATCGATTGAAATCTCAGTAAAATCTAAATGGAGATTTCGATCGATATCGTATGCCATAATTTGGGCCTGGCTCTCGTTCGAGTACATTTTCCAGAGGGAAATTATACGAAATAACTCCAAGCCGAATGAGCGTTTCATATACATATTACGTGTTCTCATGCTATTGGCCTCATGCTCTGATAGAGCTTATGAGACTGTTGGATATCTGGATATCGTAATATGTATGAACTTTCAAGATAAGATTTTAAAGTAGATCTAAATGGAAGGGACAGTTGTAAAAACACTAATTTTTCATTAATCTCTGAAAGATTCCGTAACTCTCTCAACCAGCCCTAGAATAGTAATATGGATAGAAAAGTGTCCTAATATTTGAAGCAAAAGATAGTTTTGGGATATGACAACCGTAGTAGAATCCTTCTTCCTAATCCTAAGCTTAAGAAATATGTTCCACGGAAGCATTGCTGGGTGTAAACCATGCAGTCTACTAGGATTTATTTGGGGAATAAACCGTTTTCGACTGGTAGACTATAGCCAGTAGTCGGATCTCCTAACACACTTCTACCAACTTGAAATCTGAATCTAGGTATTGTCTATTCAGAAGCTAAGTTACGTAGGTCATTGTTCTCATTCTATACCACTCTTTCGCTCTCTGCATTAAATTTATTTTTTCTCCTTTTTCATTCTACCAGAAGTAATCAGAATGGATCACAGCCTCGTATGTACATATGTATGTCAGTGTGAAGTTGTATTTTAGATGTGCAGAATCCTCCGAAATCTTTTACAAATATTTCTTACATCAATATTTCTTGATCTCACATTTGTCTTCCGTTTCATAAAAATATGACAAATTGCAAGTCATGGGTATTTCAAGAATGTTCGTTTTTACTTCTGACAAACAGAGAAGAAACATTTTCCAATATGAAATATGTATGTATGTATGTACATACATATGTATGTATATGAAATCTTATTTACAGTTTTCCTATTCAATATTCGAACATATTAGTTTGGGTAAGGTAGGTCAGTAATTTTAAAGAGATTTGGAAAGACAATCTAAGAGTGAAATATATATACGATACAAACATAGATACACTTTATTCTCTCTTCTTAAATGCATATGTAAACACACACAACAAATACATGCTAAACTCTCTTTTGTATCTCTCTGTACAATTTGTTTTGAACAAAAATATTAAAAAATATTTGCACACTAATACTAATACAATATGTATCTACAATTTTCATGAAAAATCTGGCAAAATTCTCGAATTTTCTCTTAATTGAACGCAAACAGAGTCAGCGAGTATAAAAGGCCAATGCATACCGTCAGTCGTCACATTTAAGTACAAGAGATCAAAGTGAGAAGTTATTTTTAAAGCGAAAAAGTTAAAGTGAATTTTTAAATTCTAACTAAAAAGTATTTAAAAGTTGCAAACAATAAAAGAAAGTAATTGAATAATTAACAATTTAAGTGAATCAAAAAAATAAAATAACAACTGAAAACAAAATGGTAGCAATTGGTATTGATTTGGGTACAACATACTCCTGTGTTGGTGTATTCCAACATGGTAAAGTGGAAATCATAGCCAACGATCAAGGCAATCGCACAACACCCAGTTATGTTGCCTTCACAGATTCGGAGCGTCTTATTGGTGATGCGGCCAAGAATCAAGTTGCCATGAATCCACAGAATACAGTATTCGATGCAAAACGTTTAATTGGCCGCAAATTCGAAGATCAAAAGATTCAGGATGACATGAAACACTGGCCCTTCAAAGTGGTAAATGATTGTGGAAAGCCAAAGATTTCAGTAGAATTTAAGGGGGAACAAAAGAAATTTGCTCCCGAGGAGATTAGTTCCATGGTGCTGACAAAAATGAAGGAGACAGCTGAAGCGTTTCTAGGCACAACAGTGCGCGATGCAGTCATTACAGTGCCAGCCTACTTTAATGATTCCCAGAGACAAGCCACCAAAGATGCTGGAGCCATTGCTGGTCTTAATGTATTAAGAATCATCAACGAACCGACAGCAGCTGCTTTAGCTTATGGCCTGGACAAAAACTTAAAGGGTGAACGTAATGTTCTAATCTTTGATTTGGGTGGTGGCACTTTTGATGTTTCCATTCTCACCATCGATGAGGGTTCATTGTTTGAGGTACGTGCTACAGCTGGCGATACTCACTTGGGTGGTGAAGATTTTGACAATCGTTTAGTCAATCACTTTGCCGAAGAGTTCAAACGTAAATACAAAAAGGACCTGCGTACGAATCCCAGAGCTTTACGTCGCCTAAGATCAGCAGCTGAACGTGCTAAACGTACTTTATCATCCAGTACTGAGGCTACAATTGAGATAGATGCTCTGTTCGAGGGTGTGGATTTCTATACTAAAATAAGCCGAGCTCGTTTTGAAGAATTATGTGGCGATTTGTTCCGCAACACTTTGCAGCCTGTAGAGAAAGCCTTAAATGATGCTAAAATGGATAAGAACCAAATCCACGATATTGTCTTAGTAGGTGGTTCTACACGTATCCCTAAAGTCCAAAATCTACTGCAACAATTCTTCTGCGGAAAAACTCTCAACTTGTCCATTAATCCTGATGAAGCTGTGGCCTATGGTGCCGCCATTCAAGCAGCTATTCTCAGTGGCGACAAGAGCAGTGCCATACAAGATGTTTTGCTAGTAGATGTGACACCTCTTTCATTGGGCATTGAAACAGCTGGTGGTGTAATGACTAAATTAATTGAACGCAACAGTCGCATACCCTGCAAACAATCCAAGACCTTTACCACATATGCTGACAATCAACCAGCTGTAACGATACAGGTCTTTGAAGGTGAACGAGCCCTGACCAAAGACAACAATCTTCTGGGCACCTTCAATTTAACTGGAATACCGCCAGCACCTCGTGGGGTTCCTAAAATAGATGTTACATTTGATTTAGATGCTAATGGTATTTTGAATGTAACAGCCAAAGAAATGAGCACTGGTAATGCCAAAAATATTGTCATCAAAAATGATAAGGGTCGCTTGTCCCAAGCCGAAATAGATCGTATGGTCCGTGAAGCTGAACAATATGCAGATGAAGATGAAAAACATCGTCAACGTATAGCAGCACGCAATCAATTGGAAGCTTATGTATTCAATGTCAAACAATCTACCCAAGATGCAGGCGATAAAATCCCCAAATCCGATAAAGATCGTGTCATGGAGAAATGTGAAGAAACCATTAAGTGGTTGGACAACAATACCACCGCTGAAAAAGAAGAATACGATTACAAATTGGAGGAATTAACTAAATTGTGTCAACCCATTATGACAAGACTACACCAGCAGGCTAGTGGTGGAGCTGCTGGCCCGCAAGCAGGTCCTGGTTGTGGTCAACAAGCTGGAGGTTTTGGTGGTCAAAATTATGGTTGCCCAACTGTGGAGGAAGTAGATTAAAAAATTTAATTTATTATTTTATTTAAGCATTTTTTATTTGAAGAGACTGAATTTATGAATTCGAATAAGTTTAAAAATTACTAATTTATTTACTGAAATTTATTTGTTTTAAGTGTTAACTTAATTTTAATAAGTTTATGTATACGTATTAGTTTTTAAGTTAATTATTTTAAGAAAATTTCCAGATATTTTCTTAAATATATATTTTTGTTACAAAAAATTTAACAAAAAGTTGTTTTATATTTTTTTTTCAGGAAGTTAGTTAAATTTGGTGTACATTTTCAGTTTAAAAATGGCCTTACAAAATAGGAAGGAAGTACCAAAGATGGAGAAAAAGTGAGAATTTCTATTGCGCCAATTGTTCCTAGAATATATTTTTATAATCACCCCTATTCTGCATTTCAATTCGAATACAAATTTTCTACTTTTCTCAACTTTGGTATTCTGCATTTCGATTCAAAGATCCGTCACTGAAATAACAACTTACAAAAACGTAGTTACGATCCTAATGAAGAATACACGTAAAACTTTTCCAAAAATAGAGAATTGCATATTTATAAAAGTCCTTTCTGAATCTTTGTCCGATTGGGAATCGGGTCGTTCCGCAGCGAAGATCCAATTGTCGGGGGAACGTAGGAACTGAACGACAGCCTCTTTCACTTCTCTTTGCACGCCACCTACATTTACCATAAAGTGAAATCTAGAAATAAAGTCTTAAAGGCACTCGCTGACACCTCCTAGGGAATGGATAAGGAGACAATCACTGCGACATACAAAGCAATTGGTCGCAGTGACACACAAGATGACAAACGGCACCTACACAAGCTGGATAGACAATTCCTGGTGACATGTCATCAGCCATCCCATTTCAACCATCAACTTTTGATAGAAGATCCCCCCTCGACACATTCGGTCAGACTTTCGGCGTTATATTGGAGACTTCCAGGACGTCATCTTATCAGACGTCGACAAATTGTCAATAATAATCGTACAGAAGGCATTGAACCAAAAGGCTGTCACAGAAGCCATTAACGGCTATAGGTACAATAACATTCGAGTCTAAACATTTTTAATAATAAAATAAAAAAAACATTTTTGTTTCAGAAAATCAATAAAAAGCTCATGACATCATGTTTAGTTTCTAATTATATATTCACCGAGACAAACAGTATTAACAACATTAAAATTGTTTTCAGTTTTAAGCAAACTTTTGTTAATATCAAAATTTATTAATATCAAAACACGGCAGTTGAAATTTTCAATTAAATACTAAAACATTTACTTAGGTAAACCTTCCTTTTCAGCATATTCCAACCAAGAACCCACATAGTTTTTGGTATTTTCATAGCCAAGAGTTCTAGCTAATTCAGCAGCACTCTGTGATCTCTTACCCGATCTGCAATGGAAAATAATTTCCGAATTTTTTTCCGGCTTATCACGACCATATTTTGCCTTAAAAGCAGCTTTATCTACACTATCAGCCAATTCTTGGCCCACCTGTCCCAGGGGAATATTAATGCTGTTAGGTATTTTACCAGTTTCTTGTAATTCTTTAGGTTCTCTAACATCAATTAAAAGTTCTGCAGATTGATTTGTTAATTTTTTAATTTCTTCATAAGTAACAATGGGTATATTATTTTCGCCCATAGTCGAGTATTGTTGTTTGGCAAAATTGACACTGTTTAAGGATTTGCTGGCCGTTGTTAGGAATGATAAGTTTTGTCTAGACAATTTTAGTGGTATGGAACTTGTGCCAGTTCTGACTGCTTTAAGGCAAGTCATTCTATTCAATTGTCTCAAAAAAGTTCTTGTGGCCATTGTGGAGAATTTTAATTAGCTAAAAAAAACAGAATTGTTAAAGAATAACAATATTTTAGGAAATATTTATTGTATTTATTATATAATCTCTGGAATCTTACCGATGGTGGTGCGTGTATGTACTACAGTTGTTGATTGTTTGTATTTTGCTCGAATAGTATAAATAATTAATATGTATGAACAAAAACACTATTTTGCTTTCGTTCCCACTACATTAATTAGCTAAAAAAAACAGAATTGTTAAAGAATAACAATATTTTAGGAAATATTTATTGTATTTATTATATAATCTCTGGAATCTTACCGATGGTGGTGCGTGTATGTACTTCAGTTGTTGATTGTTTGTATTTTGCTCGAATAGTATAAATAATTAATATGTATGAACAAAAACACTATTTTGCTTCTGTTCTCACTACAACTAATAAATAATGTGCGTAAAACTAACATTTAAATTTTACAAATGTTCAACATGTGGAGATATGAGTTGCTAAGTTATTTTAATAATAGCATAATAATGCAATATACATACATATTTAGTAAACTTCATTAAAACATTTGAATTTGTTAAAACTGAATAGAGATCTATCGGCGTCTATCTAGCTAGCGAGCGAGCTATTATCTAGCGAGCGAGCTATCGAGCGCGAGATCAGCTAGACGAGCGAGCGAGCGAGCGAGCGAGCGAGCGAGCGAGCGAGCGAACGAGCAGCGAGCGAGCGAGCGAGCGAGCGAGCGAGCGAGCGAGCGAGCGAGAGCGAGCGAGCGAGCGAGCGAGCGAGCGAGCGAGCGAAGCGAGCGAGCGAGCGAGCGAGCGAGCGAGCGAGCGAGCGAGCGAGCGAGCGAGCGAGCGCGGGCGCGCGCGCGCGAGCGCGCGAGCGCGCGAGCGAGCGAGGAGCGAGCGAGCGAGCGAGCGAGCGAGCGAGCGAGAGCGAGCGAGCGACCGCGCGCGGCGCGATCTATCTATCTATCTATCTATCTATCTATCTATCTTCTATCTCTGTCTCTCTCTCTATCTCTCTATCTCTCTATCTATCTATCTATCTATCTATCTATCTATCTATCTATCTATCTATCTATCTATCTACCTCTCTCTCTCTCTCTATCTATCTATCTATCTATCTATCTATCTATCTATCTATCTATATATCTATCTATCTATCTATCTATCTATCTATCTATCTATCTATCTATCTATCTATCTATCTATCTATCTATCTATCTATCTATCTATCTATCTATCTATCTATCTATCTATCTATCTATCTATCTATCTATCTATCTATCTATCTATCTATCTATCTATCTATCTATCTATCTATCTATCTATCTATCTATCTATTGAATTGCCGGTAATAAGAAATTTTAAAAAAATAATTTCTTTGTTTTAATGAAAATCTTAAGAAAATTTATTCAAGTTAATTCAGTAACATATTACTTGAAATCCACTTAACTTTACTTAGCCAAACCCTCCTTTTCAGCCCATTCTGTCCAGGAACCCAAATAGTTTTTAGTATTTTGATAACCTAAACTTCGAGCCAATTCGGCAGCATTTTGTGATCTTTACCAATTTTACAATGGAATATTATTTCAGTATTCTTATCCGGCTTATCTCTACCATATTTTGCTTTAAAGGCTCCCTTATCCATATTAGCTGACAATTCTTCGGCCACTTGCCCCAAAGGTATATTAATACTGGTAGGTATCTGGCCAGTTTCTAGCAATTCGTTGGGCTCTCTAACATCAATTAATAGTATTTTGGGTTTGTTTTTTAACTGTTTTACTTCCTCGTAGGAAACTATGGGTATATTGTTGACAACCGTACAGTAACCCTTGGATAAATTGTGAACATTTGACTTATCGTTGGCTGTTGTTGGATAACTTGCCGTTGTTAGACATTTTGTTGCCGTAAATCCATTATTAAATCTTGTTAAATTTACACTGGCAATTTTTGTTAATTGTTTGAATAAAAGTTTTGCCGCCATATTTAATATGATTTATTCTAAAATGTAGTTAAATTAAGTTTTTTTTTCAAGAATTACATAATATTTAACTATTACCGGTGTAACCAAAATTATTGTTGTGCCGGTGTTTAGACAAACTCAAGTGATGATAATCTTTACAAATACAGGCGATTTTAAAATGAATTTTACCAAAGTGAAGTACTACATAGTTTTTAAAAGCGTGGTTATAGGTTACAGCGTGGTTATAGGTTACAGCCAAGGAATGTTTAACTGATACTTAGTTTTTAACATAATAGGTGCAAGGTAAAGGGGTTTAAAAAAATCACCTGTTTAAAATTAATTTAATACCTATTATGTATTTTTATAATCGGTATACAAATATAAAAATAGGAGTGGTCCTAGGTTTTTGCCAATCCAAATCTTAAACCAATTTATAAGATACAGTTCAGGATGGTTAATACTAAAAATCGGTTCATATATAATATAAAACTTAAATTATATTTACTGATTTTTTTTCCATTTTAATGGGTATTTACTACTATTTCCCATTTTTATTTACATACATACATACATATTCTGATTTTTTTGTTATAATAAATTGTTATGCAAAAATATAAATCTTAATTTATTACTTTAATTAAGTTTATATGTAGATGATTTTTAATGAATAAAATTAACATCACTGAAAACAAAAATAAAAAAAATGGGAACAGTATGAGTGAAATCAAATTGCCATGTGAAGATAACAACACATTTGACTAATAATTAATCATGTGTTTGTTTCATTACTTATTAAAAAACTTAATGAATAAGTTTATTTTAAAAATTGTCTTCATATAAAGCTTTTAAGTATTAAATTTTTTCCAAACTTAAAATTTGCGAAAAATAATTTAAAACGTATGGAAATTTTTAATATCGCCATAACTTACCGACTGAAAACGGCAGGCAAATACAATCATCAGGTTAAAATCCGTCGAAATTTAAACCGCATTTAATAGGTAGATAGATAAATAGATAGATAGATAGATAGATAGATAGATAGATAGATAGATAGATAGATAGATAGATAGATAGATAGATAGATAGATAGATAGATAGATAGATAGATAGATAGATAGATATATAGGGCGCTGTGGTTAAACTTGCTGTTAAACTCGGACTTTAACCGATTACTGTGTTTTTTATTAATGATTAAATTAAAAATTTACATAATCATTTTATGTAAATTTGTATACCCTAACCCTTGTTCTCGGGAGTTTATCGATGTAAAAGTAAACTAAACGAATAAGATATTAAAAAAGGGAAAAAAGTCGAATGATAATATTCTTTAAATTATGATCTTACATCCATCAAAAATAAAAACAAATTTAACAATTTAACACAAAACATAAATTTATTAATATAAAACATTTTAAAACCCAAAAGTACTTAAAAACCTCAAAGTGTTTTCAATAATAAACCATAATCCTTTACATCAACGAATCTGTTTCGATTCCATCCTTTTTATTCCTTAGGCAAACCTTCATGTTCGGCCCAATCCAACCAGGAACCCTTGTAATTTTTAACATTCGTATAACCCAATTGTACAGCAATTTCTGCAGCTTGCTGAGCTCTTCTGCCGGATCTGCAGGTGAAAATTAAAGGCATATCAGCGGCTGGCTTATCACGACCATATTTTTGCTTAAAATCTTCAGCTTTGACATTAAGCGACAGTTCCTGTTCCAACACAGACAACGGTATATTGATACTAGTTGGTATTTTGCCCGTCTGTATAAGTTCCTCGGGTGTGCGTACATCGATTAAAAGTTTTTCCGGATGATTGGGTAGATCTTTAATTTCCTCATAATATGCAATTTCTATTTTATTATCACTATTACTCAAACTTTCTGCATGACTTGCTGCTTGAAGTAAGCACAATTGCAAAGCCAAAATTGCGAAACACGACTTGAGAGTTGTAGTTTGTTTCATAGTGCGCAATAAACTGTTTAATTTTAGCTAAAACCGAATCCGTATTAAGTTTATTATGATGAATATCATGTATGTTTTGACATTGAAAAACAAAAGTGGTTTAGGTAAGTTGTCTGTCTGTCTGTCTGTCTGTCGGTCCGTACGTCCAGTGTTTTGGGAAGAGTTTGAATTGTTAAAAAAAAGTAGTGATGAGCTAGCAATTTTTTTAAGACATTGTTGTATTTAAAAACCAGTTATTGACATGGATCGTTTAGTTTAAAACAACTAAAGCCGGTAATTTAACGGTTTATAATTTAAATATTTGAAAAATAATTGATCATGACAATTGTTTAGAAAGAGACAGTAATAACATTTCTCGATGGCTAGTGCGAACGGCACATTTAACAAAAGTAATTTAGATTTAGCAAAATTCTGAAATCTAAAATTGTTAATATCAATTTGTATTAATTGTAGATTAGTTTTGTATTTACTATAAAATGTTTTATTTAAAGTGGTCCCACTGTGTATACCTATAATTATGAACAAATTTATATATTTAAGTGTGTATTTGCAATTTGTTGTAATGGCGCGCTTGTTTATTTGATCTCTTACAAGTTCAATCTGGTGGGAATATTGATCCGGTTCTTATCAACAATTTGTTGCTTCTCAACAAAATGGCTGTATCTATCACTTGAAACAGTCGGCAACAAATAAACAACATGTTAAACGATTTATTTATAAATTAAAATTAAAAAAGACATACGGATTCAGATTTTAAAAAGAAATCACAAGCATTTGATAATAATAGACATTTCGTCTAAGATTTTTAGGAAATGATGTAGAGATATCAGCTCTAAATGGGGTAAATTACTGGGCAAAATACAATCACATTGGGTACTGTCATCAAAATATTTGGATTTTAAAATACGAAAAAAAAAAAGTACATATTTTAATTTAGCTTTAATTGATAAGTTCTTTTTTAGACATACATACAAAGGTATGTATTGAAATATTCATTAACAAAAATTTTGCGGAATGTTGTGGATTTTGAAAATAATTCTAAAATGATTGATAGACTTAATAAAATTTTAATTTGTATGTACAATAAAAAAATTCCCTTAATGGGACAACAATTACGTTTTGTAAACTCCCACCCAAAGAACGGTTATTTAGTTATAAACTTTCACACTTTAGATCGCAATAGTAATAAGATCAAATTGAAAAGTTCAATAAACTAGTTTAATCTAAATATTTTTTTATAATATTTGTCTGTGTGTATATTGCAGACGTGTGAGAAAAATGGGCAAAACTTGAAAACGTCATAACTCAAGATTTCAGATTTTTGATCCGATCTTTAAGAGATTTTAAAGATTGAACAAACTTTTCAACTTTTTGAACATTTTGCATTACGTTATCGACTTCTTTGAACTGTCGATTAATAGCCTCCTGAGTACCCTATTATTTTATAGCGAGCTTATAAATTTTCTCATAATAATACATTTTGAATTGTTTAAAAATCTTTTTTATTTGCTGAGATATCGTCTGATGAAATTTAATCCGTAAATTAATTTAAGGCAATATCTATTTTTTTGGAATTTATTGTTGCTTTTAACTTTAGTTTAAGATATCTCTAAGTAAGAAAAAAATATAACAGAGGTTCTAAATTTTAGACTTTAGACTTTAGGTCGACATTATAAATTATATATATAAAGATATCTACGCACTGTTATAACATCTCAAATATGGCCTAAAACGGGGGTTTACAATCTTAATGAAACGATATCTGTAAAACATGATAAGATAGGGGATTACTATATTTTGGTCTCTGGGTTTCGATTTTTTTTTTTTTTAATTTTGTTGTTTTAACAAAACAGGACCAAATTAAATAGAACCAAGTGAGCTGCTTGTGAAATAGCTGCCCTTGAAACATAACCTCTGTATTATATGGACACGAATCCATTCTGAACGAGAAGTCTGCTCAGTTCGAGTGAATCTAAGATAGAAAAATCTAATTTATTTCAGCTTTTTCTACTATTTCTAAAAAAAGACTTATTATACCCTCCACCACCATCAGTGGTGATAGAGGGTATATATAACTTTGTCATTCCGTGTGTAACACCAAGAAATATTCATCTGAGACCCAACAAAGTATATATATTCTTGAACCTTATGAAATTCTGAGTCGATTTAGCTATGTCCGTCCGTCCGTCTGTCTGTCTGTCTGTATAAAACATTCTCACGTTAACACGAAGCAACAAAAATTAACGAAATTCACCCAAAATATTTATTATTGTCCTAGGCAGTTTGGTATTGAAAATGAGCAAAATCGGTTTACACCGGGAAAAGTTATGAATCAAAATTTGAAACAACCTCGAAAAAAATAAGCATTTTTTACACATTCTGATGTAATTTTCTCGAAAACTATGAAAGATAATTCCATGAAAATCAGCATACATTCGTTTCTACACAAGAGCTTGACTCCTGCTGAAAATTGCCAGAATCGGTCCACAATTTCATATACCTCCCATACAAAAGTACATATTCCCGGAAAATGGGGTTTTTGTTAATAACTTCCGTCAGAATCTCGAAATCTTCACAAAATTTTACAAATTAAAATCTTATGTCAATAGAATTCATTCAGAGAAAAAATTTTCTGGATCGGTCCATAATTGGACATAGCTACCATACAAGGACCCTTCCCGAAAATCACTTAAACGCGCATAACTCATTACTAAATTAAGATATCCATATAAAATTTGTTACAAGTATTGCTCATATGCACAGAAATATTACTGTGAAATTTTTTTCCGATCGGTCCATAATTGGTCATAGCTCTCATACAAGGTCCCCTCCCGAAAATCACTTAAACGCGCATAACTCCTTACTAAATTAAGATATACATATAAACTTTGGCACAAGTATTGCTTATATGCACAGAAATATTACTGTGAAATTTTTTTCCGATCGGTGCATAATTGGCCATAGCTCCCGTACAAGGTCCCCTTCCGAAAATCACTTAAACGCACTTAACTCATTACTAAATTAAGATATCCATATAAAGTTTGGTACAAGTATTGCTCACATATACAGAAAAATTACTATGAAAGTTTTTTTCCGATCGGTCCATAATTAGTCATAGCTCCCATACAAGGTCCCTTCCCGAAAATCACTTAAACGCGCATAACTCATTACTAAATTAAGATATCCATATAAAATTTGGTACAAGTATTGGTTATAAGTACAGAAATATTACTGTGAAATTTTTTTCCGATCGATCCATAATTGGTCATAGCTCCCATACAAGGTCCCCTCCCGAAAATCACTTAAACGCACATAACTCATTACAAAATATTGATATCCATACATTTAGCACAAATATTGCTCTTATATACATAAATTACACTATAAAATTGTTTTACGATCGGTCCATATTTGGTAATAGCTCTCATGCTAGGTCCCCTCCAGAAAATCCCTTAAATGCACAATATTTATTGCCAACTAATGATATAGATACAGAATTTTGAAATTTTGTCTTTATATACATAATTGGTCATAGCTCTCATACAAGGTCCTTTTACGAAAATCTCTTAAACGCACATTACTTATTACCAATTAAAGCCATTGATACAAAATTTGGCACAAATATTAGTTTGGTATACAAAAATTCTATTTCAAGATTTTTTCACGATCGGTCCATAACATGGGTGCGGTCGGTCCCATGCAAGTGTACCTTCAGAAAATCACTTGAACACACATTAGTTATTACTAAATTACGATATAGATACAAAATTTGACTGAAATATAGCTTTTATGTACAGAAATTTTGCTTAAAGAATTTTTTACGATAGGTCTATAATTGGTCATATCTCCCATACTAGGTCCTGCCCCTAAAAGCAATGTAACCGTTTTTAACTAGTTGTATTATCAATTTGTGTAGAACAAAATTATATATGTATTTTGAAAATCCTTAAATTTTTCACACATATGCACACATGGACATTAAATATCGTTAAAGCATATCTTAGGGCGTTATAAAAATATAAAAGAAAATGGGGTTTGTAATGTTCAATAAATCTTGGAATTGTAACAGATTTAAGCTGTTTAAATCTTGGGGGTTTTCTATTTAAGACATAAGAATACTTATTTCTACAAATATTTGATCAATTAAAAAAGTATTAATATAAATGTAGCTGGTGGAGGGTATTTAAGATTCGGCTCAGCCGAATATAGCACTCTAACTAAGTTATAACACTTTTACATTATATGAGTGATCATTCTACATATCTTATCAGTTTTAAAGTCATTCCTTTGTTTAGATTTGTACTGATCAGGGGTAGCGTGTTAATAGTATTAACTTAATACTATTCGTCGGGGGTTTTAAGTTTTAGACAGTACATTCAAAGATTAAAATGTATAAAACTTAATTTAAACTAATAACTTTTTATATTAACTTTATATTAAGACAAATCTAACCAGGAAGCATTAATATTTGGATATCTTCTATTGGATCTACAAGTGAAAATTAAATACAATCTTATCACGATTGTTTTTATGTCCTACATCGCTATATTGAGAAGTGTATTATACGTTTGTGCTGATGATTATAAGCATAAACCTATCGTTCCTACACCCACCTTAAAGTATTTAACAAATCGGTCCAGAATCAATTTTTGAGTCGATTAACCTATGTATGTCCGTCCGTCTGTCTGACCATGTAAACTTTCTGCGCCCGCTGCAGGTAGGATTTTCAAGAACGAAACACATTGGAAATTGTGATAAACGTTCCATTATTTAGTTTTAACACACTATGTATGGTAAAGGGCACAGCCGAATATAGAACTCTTACTTGTTAAAATTTAAAACAAATCTGCAGAAATTTCATTTCATAACACTTTTCCAAAGAAACTATAAATTTTCATGAATTAATTATTTAAAGTTACTGATTATGTTATTACATTAATCTATTTGTATACAAAACGGTAAAATGCGTCTACAATGAGTGGATCACACTTAAAATTTTAATCATTAACACTACGTCATACATTTTTTGTGCAATTTTAAGCATGGCGTGAGGTTTGTCCAATTTAAGTCCGGGTTCACTTTTTCTTACTTTTCACTTTAATAGTTGATTAATAATGTTTATTATTAAACTTTCCCTGAATAATAAATCGAAAACGACAAAGAAAAAAAAATGATCCGATCCTTATCAAAAAGAACGAGAACAGGCAAGCAACACGCGAATAGCTGAAAAAAGTGTCATTTAAAAAAAAATATTCATCAAGGAACTTATCATCTACAAATGGCACAATTTACAATAAAATATGTTTATCAATACATCGGCTGAAAGTTTTATAAATAAATGAAAATAAAACATAGAACCGGAACTTTTAATTAAGTGTTTGCAAGAATTTTTAACAAACAGCCGGCACTACGAATCCAGCAATATAAAGGATCCAGTTTAATATAAACTGCTTTGTCAACTATTTATTAAACAGGAAATTCTAAATGGTTGCTAAAAACACAACATTTCTTATGGGATTAACATAAAAATAGTTTATTTTTATAAATAAACTATGTACTAGTATAACAAATTTAATATTTTCCCGATAGTATGTCAATAGCATGCATTTCGGCTTCAGCCAATCGCTTCTTTTCCTCAGCTAATGTTGCATCACGTATAGCTTTCTGTTTAGCCTCAGCTTCACGAAATTTTGCTTCCTTTTGCGATAAGCGTTTTTGATTGTAGACACCGTAAATTATGCCCAGACTTAGCATGGACCAACGTCCAAATTTTATCAATGGAGATACAGCAATAGGTGGTTGTGACATAGTTTTTTTTTTTAGCGAAATAAATATTAATATTCTTTTCAATTTATAAAATTCGTTAATATTGACAAGTTAGTGATGACACAAAGTCGATGTTATTCAATATCTAATGAAATTATAGAATGTAAATCACATCTCTAAACAGTGGCTAGTTTCTGCAATTTATAAGAAAAGTTTTTAATTTGCAAAAATTGTTTTAATAAAATTCTAATAATAAAACAAGTAAGAAAGTATAGTCGGGCGTGGCCGACCATATGATACCCTACACCAGTTATGAATATTAAATGTGATTTATTTTTCATAATATCGCATTTATCTTCAATATTCCCTTGTTCCGATACATTTAAGCAATTTATGGATGAAAAACCAATTTTCTGAAAGAGGCTTTATATGGGGGCTAGGGGCAAATATGGACCAAGCCCGATAAAATTTTGTGAACATATTTATATTTACATAATATTTAATTGTGCTGAATTTCATCGCGATATTTGTGTTTATAAGTTAATTTGGGACATTCAAGTAATTTTCTGAAGGGGACTTTGTATGGGAGCTAGGGTCAAATGGGGCCCGATCTTTATGAAATTTGGCAGGGTTATCAAGACTTCTATAAAACTTAGTTGTGCCGTATTTTATCGATATATCTGTATATTTAACATAATTATGAGCTCAGAAGCCCTTTTCGGGGGGTTCTGTTCTATGGGGGCTAGGTGAAATAATGGACCGATTTTAACCATTTTCAATAGGCTTCGTCCTTGGGTCAAATAAAACGTGCATGCCAAATTTCATCCAATTATCTCGAAAATTGCGACCTGTAGCTTGCGCACAAGGTTTACATGGACAGCCAGCCAGCCAGCCAGACGGACGGACGGACGGACGGACGGACGGACATAGCTTAATCGACTCAGAAAACGATTCTAAGCCGATTGGTATACTTTAAGGTGGGTCTAGGACGAATATTTTTATATGTTACAAACATCAGCACAAATCCAATATACCCTCCCCACTAAAGTGGTGTAGGGTATAAAAAGAATACTAGAAAGCTCTATATTATAATTATAATGCCCGTAGTTATTATTCTTATTTTAAGGGCAATAAAGATGAAGCCGACTTTTGAGTAAAATCGACTTGAAAAGAAACAGTGGGAGAGGTATATGTTTATACCCTATACCACCATAGTGGGGAAGGTATTATGCATTTATGCTGATGTTTGTAACGCTCAGCCTGAACCCATCTTAAAGTATACTGATCGATTAAAATTATTGCTGAGGGACATAGTTAATGAGCGGTTTTTTTTCCCCTTTTTGCCCTCTACGATCAATATTGTTACAAACGTATATAGTAACAGTTCGTTCCCATGACAATTGGATCTTCGTTCCGTAACGACCGGAGTCATATTCGAGATTGTTAATTCAACAACAACTGTATCAACTGAAAGTTTTTTCCCAGGAAAAATTTATTGCCCATAGCCGAACTGCTACAACAATAAAACAAGTAAGAAAGTATAGTCGGGCGTGGCCGACCATATGATACCCTACACCAGTTATGAATATTAAATGTGATTTATTTTTCATAATATCGCATTTATCTTCAATATTCCCTTGTTCCGATATATTTAAGCAATTTATGGATGAAAAACCAATTTTCTGAAAGAGACTTTATATGGGGCAAATATGGACCAAGCCCGATATTTGTGTTTATAAGTTAATTTGGGACATTCAAGTAATTTTCTGAAGGGGACTTTGTATGGGAGCTAGGGTCAAATGGGGCCCGATCTTTATGAAATTTGGCAGGGTTATCAAGACTTCTATAAAACTTAGTTGTGCCGTATTTTATCGATATATCTGTATATTTAACATAATTATGAGCTCAGAAGCCCTTTTCGGGGGGTTCTGTTCTATGGGGGCTAGGTGAAATAATGGACCGATTTTAACCATTTTCAATAGGCTTCGTCCTTGGGTCAAATAAAACGTGCGTGCCAAATTTCATCCAATTATTTCGAAAATTGCGACCTGTAGCTTGCGCACAAGGTTTACATGGACAGCCAGCCAGCCAGACGGACGGACGGACATAGCTTAATTGGTATACTTTAAGGTCGGTCTAGGACGAATATTTTTATATGTTACAAACATCAGCACAAATCCAATATACCCTCCCCACTAAAGTGGTGTAGGGTATAATCAGTCTAAAATCTATGACTTTAAAAGCCACTTAATAAAAACGTTTTGTTTTGATCGCGAACATTTAAAAAAATGTTCTTTTTATACCCTACACCACTATAGTGGGGAGGGTATTATGCTTTTATTTGTAACGCACAAAAATATTGGTCCTATACCCACCTTAAAGTATACCGATCGACTCAAAATCACTTTCTGAGTCGATTAAGACATGTCCGTCCGTCTGTCCGGCTGATTGGCTGCCCATGTAATCCTTGTGCGCAAGCTACAGGCCACAATTTTCAAGATATTTTGATAAAATTTGGACCATCCGGACGATGCCTTTTAAAAATGGTTGAAATCGGTTCATTATTTCACCTAGACCCTAACCCCCATACAAACCCCCCTTTTAAAAATATATTAAACGTCCAAAAATTTACTTATAACCATTAATATCTCGATGAAATTCTGCATAACTAACCTTTATATAAAAATACATCTCTCCTCTCAATTTGTTCATGATCGGCTCATATTTGACCCTAACTCCCATATAAAGTCTGTTTTAGAAATTTAGTTCGGAATTAAGGTAAAATACAACATAAAAGTTTCTTTATGAAAAATAAATAATTTTTAAAATATACCCATGGTGTAGGCTATCATATAGTCGGCCATGCCCTTTCCTACTTGTGTTAAATGCATAGAGAATAAAGTCGGAAAATGTTGAAAAGTCCGAAAAAATATTTTATTCATTCTTAGCCACCACTAAAGCTAGCTTTACACGATATGATCTGACAAAATTTTATGTAGAAGAGTACGAATGGGATTGTGAAAAGGTATTTCAAAATTAACAGTCGTAGGACAGATTTAGATTCACATTAGGTGTTTGAAATATCGTATCCTAAAATAAACAAGTAAGAAATTATAGTCGGGCGTGGCCGACCATATGATACCCTACACCAGTTATGAATATTAAATGTGATTTATTTTTCATAATAAAGCATTTATCTTCAATATTCCCTTGTTCCGATACATTTAAGCAATTTATGGATGAAAAACTAATTTTCTGAAAGAGGCTTTATATGGGGGCTAGGGGCAAATATGGACCAAGCCCGATAAAATTTTGTGAATATATTTATATTTACATAATATTTTATTGTGCTGAATTTCATCGCGATATTTGTGTTTATAAGCTAATTTGGGACATTCAAGTAATTTTCTGAAGGGGACTTTGTATGGGAGCTAGGGCCAAATGTGGCCCGATCTTTATGAAATTTGGCAGGGTCATCAAGACTTCTATAAAACTTAGTTGTGCCGTATTTTATCGATATATCTGTATATTTAACATAATTATGAGCTCAGAAGCCCTTTTCGGGGGTTTCTGTTGTATGGGGGCTAGGTGAAATAATGGACCGATTTTAACCATTTTCAATAGGCTTCGTCCTTAGGTCAAATAAAACGTGCGTGCCAAATTTCATCCAATTATCTTGAAAATTGCGACCTGTACCTTGCGCACAAGGTTTACATGGACAGCCAGCCAGCCAGACGGACGGACGGACATAGCTTAATCGACTCAGAAAACGATTCTAAGCCGATTGGTATACTTTAAGGTGGGTCTAGGACGAATATTTTTGTATGTTGCAAACATCAGCACAAATCCAATATACCCTCCCCACTAAAGTGGTGTAGGGTATAAAAAAAAACAAAATTTTTGGTCATATTTGAAACGTTATAAGGGCGCAAAGACACTATTAAGCTGAAGGTCCACACTACACGTCTTCGCCTCAAAGCATTGCTTGTTTGTCATACCTACTGAAAGCGGAAATATTCAAATTAAAAAATAAACTCCGTACAATTAATTTTATAAACATCTTTATTTCATAAATATACAAAAAAAAGTCTTTTATTCTCCATAATTAATTTGGAGATACAATTAAACTTTAAATTATTATCAACAATATACACAGCGAATTCTTAAAAATAATACAAATTAGTTTATAAATTATTTGGCCTTTAATATGGCATATTTTTGTGTTAATTTTTTTTTTTTATAAATATTAATAATTTTACATTGAGAATTACTATGAGAGTACGTATTTATGTATGCATATTAAGTTAAATAAATAAGTTTAAAGTAATAGGAAAAATATATATAAAAAAAATACTTGAAAATTTTAAAAATTACAATAGTATTTTTAGGTAATATAAAATAAAACTAAAAATTAGGGACCATTTTTGTAAAACGAACCAAAAACTAAATTAGAAATTAAGTTTTACAAAAACAGTTTCAAAGGTATATAGAAAGTGTGTTTAAATTAAGATAAGTTTAATATTTTTTTTTTTTTATCGCAAAAGGCACTTAAGCTTAAGTTTATTGCCATACGACAATATATATTATATTCTTTTTAATTTTAAACCATACATTTATATTTGTTTATATTTTCAGGTATGTATTCTTCTAATTGCAATAATGCTGAAAGGTGAAGCATAATGAAATGATAATTACCAAAAAAACAAAAGTAATTATGTCAACAAGTCACATTTGTTTTCATTGTCGTAGTTAATTAAGGTAACTATATAATTCGATAAATATGTTTCGAGTTTTGAAGTTCTTTGTACAATATCATTTATACAAGAACTCAAACTAATAAACCACAAAAATATATATTAAGATTTTTAAATCGTTAGATGTTTTTTTTATCGAATTCGTGGTGGGTTTTATACTGTCACTTATTTCAAACAGACTTGTATTGAAACTGTTCTTGAAAATATGTAAATTTGTTAACACATAAAATTTCAAAATAGTTCTTTTGAAAAGATAGATACTTTGAAATCTACATAAAATGTGCGTTTTGAGAACAAATTTAAACGACGAAACTTTATCGAAATTCCTAGAACTCATTGAGCCATATTTCGATAAGCAAAATTCCAAAATAGAATCGCTCCAAACAATTTGTATACAAACTGCTTAAAACGAAGAGAATTTAAAAAAATAATGATTTCATTGTTTTTGTATTCTTAAGCCATGTGACCTAATGCCTGGCCTACTTTAACCTTTTGACCAGCTTCTATATCAAAACGGAAATTATTGGGAGCCTCAAATAACAATACTATAGTACTACCCATATTAAATTGACCCACTAGATCACCTTTCTTCAAGCATGGTTTTTCGGCCAATAAAAGTTCATCATATTCACGGTTAGTTCTCAAGCCAACCCAACGATTGGTTTTTAGCTTTTCATCCATAATTATTTCCATGGAACCAACGTTGGTAGCGCCGACAGCGGTATAACTGAAGAAACCATATTGCCATTGGCCCAAATATAAGGCGCGTTCGTTAAGTACAAATAAGCCGGGTAACCAGGTGGCAATTTTTGGATTAACTGATAGCAATTCGCCGGTAAAATGTCTTCGCAATGTAGGCTGCCATTCGGCGGCGGAATGGAAACGATGATAATCACCAGGAGCCAAATAAATAACACATTGGTAAAGAGTGGTAGAGCCATCTTGTTTGTGCTTAATGGCATCGGCATATTCTTCGTAGGTCTTGTTGTTATTCTCCAGCCAAGTAGCGGGACCCAAAAAGTCTTGTATGCTATAGTTTACACCCTTTACTTGCTCTATAAGTGACTTGGAGGCCGTGCCAAAATGTAATATTTTTCCATCGGCCGGCGATACTATGGGTGCTTTCATGTCAATTGGTCGTACACCTTCTCTTAATGGACGAGTGAAAAATTGTGATAAACTTTCATAGTATTTATAGTCTGGATATAAAGCCTCTTCAATATTCACACCAAACGACTTGGAATACCAGCCATACACAAAGGGTCTAAAGTTCTCCGGTATATAACAGGCGGCCAGCCAACCCCAAGCTCTACTTAGCAATCTCAAAGGCAGGGAACAGTAAAACTTTGTCTGAAATTCCGAGGCGGTCTGTGGCAACTGTTCTCGTACACAATTCTGCTTATGTAATTGCCATTCCAAAGCACCAAATACACAAATACCCATAGGAGCCCATTTCAATAGAAAACCAGTCCATTTTAACCATATGCTAAGACGTCTCTTTTGTAATTCTTGATGTCTGCGAACTTGAAAACTCGTGTTTTTATTTAAAGAATTATTTCTTATAAGATTATCAACTTTCGACTCTGTGGTCTGATTGTTGACATTATTGCCAGCTGCTTTGGTGGAAAATGTTTGGCGAAAATTCTTAATCAACGGCCATTTGCCGGTTTGTTGTTGGCCGGTTTGTTGATGTTTCTGATGAGCTTGTCGTAAATTACCAGCCTTGATAAGGAAACGACCGCGAGGTACAAAATAAGAAACCATGTTTAGTTCAACAGCAACGAAAAACACACGATATATTTTTTTTTTTTTTTACTCTATAATAATGAGGTGATTACGTATTGTACTTTTGTTAGTTGCAACAACAAAAAGAAATTAGTAAACAATTTAAGTTAAAATTTCTCTGTCATTAACCACTTAAGAAAAATTAACTTTACAATTTTCAATTCTTTTTTAATTTTCAAATAGTTAAAACGGAAAAAACACGTCCTCTCTGATGGAGGTTATAAAATTGAATGAACGTTCTTTTACTGCGGCTTGTCCAAAAATTGGGTTAGTTTTCTTCATCTGCTGATAATTCTTTTGCTCTTTTTTCTCTATGCATCAATTTCTCGGCTGGTGTTTCTTTCATTATTTTTATTATGTATTTCACTGTGTGGTGGTTGTTTTCTTATCACACATATTTTTTTCTAAATTCTTTCTTATTTTGTTATTATTCTTCTATTCGCATTTTAGTTGATGTCAGTCAAGGTTGTCAGTGTGTTTTACACAATATTATTTTGTTTTGTTTTATATACCTCCATATGTTTGTATAAAAAAAAAATTATGTATTTTGGATTATCCAATGTTTAAAATTATCACAAAATTCTGGAGATTTCTGTCGCAAGTTCTTATATGTTGTTAGTTATTTTATTTTTAGTTAAATTTTGTTTTTGTATGTAATTTAAAGATTTTAATTTATAAGTTTTTACTTTGATTTCATTTCTGTCCGTTTCGTAAATAGAAAAAAATGAACAGCGTTTTGAAATAAAAATATGTATGTAGTATAATGAGGGATTAATTCAGGAGAACAAAAAAAGTGAGCAGGCATGGAAAATTCAGTATTTTAGTACCTTTTTCAGTACTTTTTAATATCGGAAAATACCGAGGTACTACCACGACATTTTCGGTACTATTTCTAACTTATAAACTTTTGATAAGTAGTCCACATAGTAGTTAATATATCAGTCTATAGTCTCGTCTGTAGTCCAGTCTATAGTCTAGTCTGTAGTCTAGACTATAGTCTAGTCTGTAGTCTAGTCTATAGTCTAGTCTATAGGCTAGTCTATAGTCTAGTCTATAGTCTAGTCTAGTCTATAGTCTAGTCTATAGGCTAGTCTATAGTCTAGTCTATAGTCTAGTCTAGTCTATAGTCTAATCTATAGTCTAGTCTATAGTCTAGTCTATAGTCTAGTCTATAGTCTAGTCTATAATCTAGTCTATAGCCTAGTCTATAGTCTAATCTATAGTCTAGTATATAGTCTAGTCTATAGTAAAGTCTATAGTTTAGTCTAGTCTATGGTTTGATCTATAGTCTAATCTATAGTCTAGTTTATAGTCTAGTCTACAGCTTATTCTATAGTCTATTTTATAGTCTTGTCTATAGCTTATTCTATAGTCTATTTTATAGTCTTTTCTATAGTCTAGTCTATGGTCTTGTCTATAGTCTAGGAGGAAAATTAAATCTCTTGATTGTAAATAACTCGTGAATTAATATTGGTAGCTGAATAAAATTCAACTCGAAGGTATTTTGTATATGTGCAATTCATTCTGTGAAAGCTTTTTTCCTATCGGTCCATAATTGGTCATAGCCCCATATAAAGCCCTCTTCTGAATATCACTTAGGCGCAATTTACATGAAGACTTTTCAGACGTCTGTTTTTTCCAATTCTCTTTTGAGAATCTTCCAAAAAATCATGAACATTTATACGGTGATTTTTTACATGCAACTATGCATGTCTTTTTTTGATGTTTAATTGTATAATCCTTTTTAATTACTTATTCGTAATAAAAATAAAATGAAATTTTTAACATAAAAACCATTTAATTTGATTTAAAAAAATTTAATAACACGCTATAGTATTTTTTTAATGCAAATTTTAATGTTTTCATGTAAAAAAAAGACATAATTATTTTTTTACACGAGCATAATATCAACAGTACGAATGAGTTTAAAGAGGAATATCAAAAACAATCATGAAAATCCCAAATCATGTTTGTTTTCTTACCCCCCATTCTTCTCTACCCCGCTCACCACCAATCATCGACAAACATGAAAACAGACGTCTGGGCAAACATGAAAAAAATCATCGTGTAAATTGGGTGTTAAACGCAAATACTCATTAACTTAATTACAATATCGGGATAACATTCAACACTAATATGTTGTTTATATATGTATACAAATCATTTTGCAACACTTTTTCTACTCGGTTATCTTCAAAATATTTTCGTCACTAATTTACTGTTTTTACTTATCAGCTGTGAACTGAAGAAAAAAGTGAGGAAGAAAGAAGAAAACAAATAAACATCAAACAATAAAAAATTTACCGAAATTAGGTGTTTTGGAAATTAAATTACAACACTATTCATTTCATATATAGAGAAACTCTATGGGGAAAAACAAATTATACAATTTAATGTATGTAGGTTTAGGTTAAGGTCTATTGTGATTCCCTTCAAGGAGTGAGGATTCAAATATGTATATGGCAAATAAGAGGGATCGAGGACAAAACTTAATGGAAAGTTGTAGGTAACAGAAAAAGGTATCAATGATGTATCATTGGTAAGTTAGTTTCCTCCAAATTGGTCAGAAAATTCTTTGCTTCTCAATTATAAAGGATCTAATGGGTCGATTATGTATGGCAACCGAACTTAAGTTGCCTTGCCAACAACTGGCAACGCAACTGAAGTAGCAATCGAGATATACATATAATCGACCTACAAAAGTTTAATCTGATTCTTTACATAGAATTATTTAAGAGAAAAAACCATTAAATATTTCATAACTAAAGGATTTCTATTCTTGATCATAGTGATATTCATAGACAGTAAACAGTTGACGGAGGACATGAATTTTTCTACATTTTCCAAAAATTCATGAAAGAATCCTGTACAAATTACTGGCTTCTACAAATTCAAATAGAATATTTTACATTTATATGTTTTTTCATATTAATTTATTACCTTGGGCAAAACTTTTGCCTTTTTGTGTTCTATGGGTTCTTATACAATTCCATGGCGATTTTTATAGCCGATATATAAGTCTTGGATATTAGCCAAATAGGATTGCAGCCAATTTCTTAAATATTTGTGGTCCTGATTTTTATATGACCACCCACATTTGTTTGGTGAAAACAAAACGACAGTCATTAAGTGTCTGAGCATCACTAAAAATGTTAAATATTATAAATAGCTCTGTTAATTGTCAAATTAAAAGTTGTTTTGTCTTCTCTGTCAAGATTCAAGAATTCTTCATATTTTCCTAGGGCAGAAAAAAACGTAATTTTGTTCTATTTAAAAGAATTTGAAATCTTCCAATGAGACCAAATTTTGAAAATGCTCAAAAAAAGCTTCTTAAATTTTTCTACAAAATAGTCAAAATTTACTAAGCTCATTTTCAATTTGTAAATTTTAAAGGGACTTTTTGGTCTAGAAACTGACTTTAATGATTAAAAAAGGGCAGAAAATTCATAATTTTTCGCAAAATGACTTTTATCAACTAAATATTTTAAAGATTTACAAACATTTCGGTTAACCGTTCTTTTATACTCGGTTAACCGACAAACCGGTTTTCTTGAAATGGTCAATTTTCTGTTAACCGAAAAATCGGTTCCTACAAAAGTCGGGTTTTTTATAAACACTATATGTAACCCCATAATTTGTAATCAATTTTAAATTGATTCTAATAATTTTTTAACCAAATTTAATTAAATTAAAAATCTATTTTTGTTTTAATAAATTATAAAGTTTTTAGTTTGAATTTGTAAAAATATATTTACAAATGTAAATAAAAATTCAATTCTTAAAATTTTTGTCGCAATAATTCATGTACTCCTTAGTTATAAAAGTTTTATCGGTTTCACCACTAAATATTTCATAATTGAAACTTTTCTCATCTCGATTATAGTAAAAAACGTAGACCGTTTTCAAGCAGTCGACAGAAGACATGAGTTTTTCTACGTGTTGTAAAAAATCATATAAAAATCCGGTGCAAACCGAGGGTTTCCAATAAACATTCTGAAAAAAAAAATAAACTTTTTTTATACTATTTTTCTTAAAATATTAATTTATGTACGTTACATACATTAGGTATATCGCCTGCGACTTTATGCTCTAAAGGTTCTTCTATTATATTATCTTTAATTTTGTAGCCGATATAGAGATCTTGAACATTAGCTAAATATGCTTGCAGCCAGAATTTTAAATACTTGTTATCGTTTTTATATTTTTTCCACATTTGCTTAGAGAAAACAAAACGACAATCATTGAGAGCTTCCAAATCGTCACTAAATAGAAGGAAGATCTATAAACTATAAAACTATTGTGTACCTAGTGCTAGATAATACTTACAAATCTTTAATTTCATCTTGGGAAATGATTCCTTGTATTTCTCCTGAGTAAATAATATCATATTTACCAAAGTTACTTCTGTGTACTCCAACTAGTTCAATGTTTTCGTCATATGGTTCATCAAGATTTGGTGGCTTACCGGGTGAATCTAAAAAGACAGAGTAGACTACAGATTAGACTATAGTCTAAACTATAGACTGTACTATAAACTAAAATATACACTAGACTATAGGCGAGACTATAGAATAGACTATAGACTAGACTATAGACTAGTCTATAGACTAGACCATAGACTAGACTATAGAATAGACTATAAACTAGACTAAAATATAAACTAGACTAGACTATATACTATGCTAAAAACTAAACTATAGGCTAGACTATAGACTGTACTATAAACTAAACTATAGACCAGTCTATAGACTAGACTGGACTATAGACTAGTCTATAGACTAGACTATAGACTAGTCTATAGACTAGACTATAGACTAGACTATAAAGTAGACTATATACTATGCTAAAAACTAAACTCTAGGCTATAAACTAGACTATAGACTATAAACTTGACTATAGACTATAAACTAGACTATAGACTTTACTATAAACTAAACTATAGACTAGACTAGGAATACTTCCAAAAAATACGACTTGACATACCAGTAAATAACAATTTCTCCAAACGAGAATGATGCGTTTGATATGGAATCAATTTATGTGTTGATTCATCCTCTTCTTCCAATACCATATATATATGACCATTATAGCGTGATACACGTATTATTAATTCATCAGAATACTTTTTACAATAATACGATTGCATAATATAAACTAAAGTTCCACGACGAGTGATTACTTTTGTCTTCTCCATGTTTTCAACACTATCGCGTTCGCCAGCCACGGACATGTCATATTTAAGTGATAAATCTATATTCCTTGAGTACATGGCCGATTCACGAGGTATATACTTTTCAAAACCATCATTTAAATTAATTGGATAAATATTAGATTTTAGGTTTTGAAAATAGTTCATTCTTTTGGCAGTTGTTATTTTTCCGTAATTGTAATCGTAGAATGCAACCAATTTAGGTTTGGAGAAAAACACTGATTTTTCTTTATATTTTTTTATAGATTGTGGTGTTATATTATAAAAAAACATTTTTTATTTCGTTTAATATCTATGAGATTATTATATTCTTTTTATCTGCGATAGCTTTCGATGCCAAAAGTGTACTATTAATAAAAGTCATAGATTTGTTATACATACATACAATATATATAAATATCATATTCATCAACGATGACGGTAATTCCCCTAATTTTAAAATTTATTTGACGCAAGTGAAAACAAAACTAGGGGTCTATACACTGTTGCCAGATTTGACGATTTTTATTAAAATCAAATTAAAAGTTGTTTTGTCTTCTCTGTCAAGATTCAAGAATTCTTCATATTTTCAGGACAGAAAAAAAACGTAATTTTGTTCTATTTAAAAGAATTTGAAATCTTCCAATTAGACCAAATTTTGAAAATGCTCAAAAAAAGCTTCTTACATTTTTCTACAAAATAGTCAAAATTTACTAAGCTCATTTTTAATTTGTAAATTTTAAAGGGACTTTTTGGTCTAGAAACTGACTTTAATGATTAAAAAAAGGCAGAAAAATATAAATATTTTATCGTTTTAAGATAAATTTTGATATCTTTTTCAAAAAAAAAGTCATTACAGATAAATATTCTCTTTACTTTTCGAAGAAACCCGGGCAACGCCGGGTACACGCAGCTATTTCATAATTTTTCGCAAAATGACTTTTATCAACTAAATATTTTAAAGCTTTACAAACATTTCGGTTAACCGTTCTTTTATACTCGGTTAACCGACAAACCGGTTTTCTTGAAATGGTCAATTTTCTGTTAACCGAAAAATCGGTTCCTACAAAAGTCGGGTTTTTTATAAACACTATATGTAACCCCATAATTTGTAATCAATTTTAAATTGATTCTAATAATTTTTTAACCAAATTTAATTAAATTAAAAATCTATTTTTCTTTTAATACATATATTATAAAGTTTTTAGTTTGAATTTGTAAAAATATATTTACAAATGTAAATAAAAATTCAATCCTTAAAATTTTTGTCGCAATATTTCATGTACTCCTTAGTTATAAAAGTTTTATCGGTTTCACCACTAAATATTTCATAATTGAAACTTTTCTCATCTCGATCATAGTAAAAAACGTAGACCGTTTTCAAGCAGTCGACAGAAGACATGAGTTTTTCTACGTGTTGTAAAAAATCATATAAAAATCCGGTGCAAACCGAGGGTTTCCAGTAAACATTCTGAAAAAAAAAATAAACTTTTTTTATATTATTTTTCTTAAAATATTAATTTATGTACGTTACATACATTAGGTATATCGCCTGCGACTTTATGCTCTAAAGGTTCTTCTATTATATTATCTTTAATTTTGTAGCCGATATAGAGATCTTGAACATTAGCTAAATATGCTTGCAGCCAGAATTTTAAATACTTGTTATCGTTTTTATATTTTTTCCACATTTGCTTAGAGAAAACAAATCGACAATCATTGAGAGCTTCCAAATCGTCACTAAATAGAAGGAAGATCTATAAACTATAAAACTATTGTGTACCTAGTGCTAGATAATACTTACAAATCTTTAATTTCATCTTGGGAAATGATTCCTTGTATTTCTCCTGAGTAAATAATATCATATTTACCAAAGTTACTTCTGTGTACTCCAACTAGTTCAATGTTTTCGTCATATGGTTCATCAAGATTTGGTGGCTTACCGGGTGAATCTAAAAAGACAGAGTAGACTACAGATTAGACTATAGTCTAAACTATAGACTGTACTATAAACTAAAATATACACTAGACTATAGGCGAGACTATAGAATAGACTATAGACTAGTCTATAGACTAGACTATAAACTAGACTAAAATATACACTAGACTAGACTATATACTATACTAAAAACTAAACTATAGGCTAGACTATACTAGACTGGACTATAGACTAGACTATAGACTAGACTATAAAGTAGACTATATACTATGCTAAAAACTAAACTCTAGGCTATAAACTAGACTATAGACTATAAACTTTACTATAAACTAAACTATAGACTAGACTAGACTAGGAATACTTCCAAAAAATACGACTTGACATACCAGTAAATAACAATTTCTCCAAACGAGAATGATGCGTTTGATATGGAATCAATTTATGTGTTGATTCATCCTCTTCTTCCAATACCATATATATATGACCATTATAGCGTGATACACGTATTATTAATTCATCAGAATACTTTTTACAATAATACGATTGCATAATATAAACTAAAGTTCCACGACGAGTGATTACTTTTGTCTTCTCCATGTTTTCAACACTATCGCGTTCGCCAGCCGTGGACATGTCATATTTAAGTGATAAATCTATATTCCTTGAGTACATGGCCAATTCACGAGGTATATACTTTTCAAAACCATCATTTAAATTAATTGGATAAATATTAGATTTTAGGTTTTGAAAATAGTTCATTCTTTTGGCAGTTGTTATTTTTCCGTAATTGTAATCGTAGAATGCAACCAATTTAGGTTTGGAGAAAAACACTGATTTTTCTTTATATTTTTTTATAGATTGTGGTGTTATATTATAAAAAAACATTTTTTATTTCGTTTAATATCTATGAGATTATTATATTCTTTTTATCTGCGATAGCTTTCGACGCCAAAAGTGTACTATTAATAAAAGTCATAGATTTGTTATACATACAATATATATAAATATCATATTCATCAACGATGACGGTAATTCCCCTAATTTTAAAATTTATTTGACGCAAGTGACAACAAAACTAGGGGTCTATACACTGTTGCCAGATTTGACGATTTTTATTGTCAAAAATGGCCTGTTGACGATTTGACGGATTTTCACTCAAATTAATGTTGCCCAAAATCGCGATTTCCTATCACGCGAGATAGGGCAAGAAATTTCTGCTGACGTTGCGTTGACTCACCTACACTATAAGCTTACTTGTGTATTTTCTTATTTGGGCATGTGTTAGTTGATTATCTACCCAACAAACCAAAAAGCTTTAAAATTCGTTTATAACAAACTTACTACCATAAGCGTTAGGTTTGCAAAACTATTATGATAATTATTGTAAAATGCTTGTTAACAATTATTTTATCAAGAAAATTGAACCCTTGTGATAATATTCCTAGTTGCAGTTTACAACAAGCTTAGAATCGCAATTATGAAATAAGCTTACTGAAAAATAGTTTTTGAAACATGATTGAAGTAAGCTTATTTTCGTAACATTTTTATAAGCTTGTTAATTCAATTAAAACAATATTTTTTTTTTGTTTCATACATATTTTTTATTTTTCATTACTTTACTGATATTTTTCAATTATACTTTCTACAATTTTGCACTTTTCTATATATATTTTACGTATTAGTCTATTATTGGTAAATGGAAAAGACTTGTTTATACTTTTTATGAACTCGTCCTCCCTCAATCCTATAGAAAAAGCGGCATCTATAAAATAAAAAAGCACATTGTTTTATTATGTGGCATTTTTTATATATTAATTAAATTACCATTTTTAAACACAAATTTTATATTACTTTATTTTATAAAATTACACTCTTAAACACTTAAAAACACTGCCTTTGCCAAACTAAACAAGAAGACTGAAATGAAGAAGAATAATAATAAGAAAAACACGCAATAAAATAACGGGATATCTTATAGGAAAACAATTACAAAACTATTGCGATCATTAGTCTTTTACAATCACATTTGTAAAACTTGTTATCCTAACTAAGTGTACAGCAAGTATTATTGCAAATATTGTTGCTATACGAAGCGTTTTTTAAGCATTATTTTAAAAGTATTTATAATTTCCATTAAAATAAACCTATCATAAGTATCCTTATGAAATGTTGTAGAAAATTCTTTATTATAAGTTTATTTTAAAATGTAGTTATATTTTGATTATGGCTTGGTTTGTTGGGTATCAACTTGCAAAACAAAATCAACTCAGTTGCTGCACAAAGTATACAGAGGTGTCACTTTTGACATTTAAAAAAGTCTAAAATCAGCTTTTGTTTGATGCAAAGTAAATTAATAAAGTAGCATCACTTGAACAGCTGACTATTTTTTTTAAACTAGATAAATGAAGCAAATTATCAAAGTTTGTTTTGAAAATTGTTAACATTGTTTACGTCGCCATTTTTAAATTGTGTTTTGCTATTTGTTAAAATTTGTGAAAAGTTGAAAAAGTGAATTAAGAGTGGTTTTAGAGTAGTTTAAAAGTGTAATAAATTGTATAATATATAATAATATAATTAAATCGTTAATATCTTTAGCTTAAAAGTAATATTTTTTATTTATGTTTTGTTCACATTGTTTTTCAAGGAAATTTTATTTTGACACAATCTTAAATTTTCCAAAAACAAAATACATGTGGTTGTTGTAGATGTTGTTGTACAACAAGAGATGTCGCTACTTTCAAAGTAAATTAATAAAGTAGCGACACGAGTTGTTGTACAACAAACGTCTACAAAAACCACAGGCAATTTGTTTTTGTTCGAAATACTCACTTGTCAAAATTTGTTTACAAAAATGAACCAATAATTAATGGAAAATATGGCATTATTGTTGTACTTTCCAAAAATATGTTGTTATTTATATTAAAAGTCACAGAGTTTTCTTTATTTTTTAAAAATTAGAACATTTTTAAAAATATTATACACTTAAAATACACTTTTTCACATTAAATACAACAAATTACTCAGAAATTTGTACAAAAGCAAGCGTTAAAATGAAAACAAATATGGCAACATAAACATTTTTGACAAGTAAGTCCACAAATAGCAAGTTTAAAAAAAATAGTCAGCTGTTCAAATGAGTCTACTTTATAAATTTACTTTGGCTACTTTATTAATATACTTTGGTTTGATGTTGAAATTGTTTGGTGAGAAGAGGTATATAAAATACAGCTAAAAAAAATTATTGAATTCGTTTTGTGCGAAAGAGAGGGAAATAGTTTTTTGCTCGTGACGCCTCTGTATACCCTGTGGTTGCTGATCAGCATTTGTCGAAGTGAAATCTGTACGCAACTTTTTTAAAATCCACACAGAAATACAACAACAAAATTTTGAGAAAGCCGAATTTATGTAGATGAATGAGAGAGCACATCTGATAGTGTTTTATACATGAACTTTAATGTACGCTGTCTGTCAAAATCCATAATATCAATTTGACAGTTAGAATATACTTTTTAGTTTGCAGTCATTTTATTAGTATAGTTTTATTTTGGGTTACATTTTGTTCTCTGCTGCTTTAACAAACAATACAAATTGATGTGTAACAGTATGTGTATGGGCAGCACTGCTCTAAATTTGACGATTTTTTATAATAGGATTTGTGTACTAATTTTAATACATTTTATCATTTTTCTATCTATAATTTTAAAGAAAATCGATGTATTTAGAATAACCAGTGAAAATGTTAATAAAATTAAACGTTATAATGTTTTAGATAGATCAAATGATTTACGTAATAACGAACTCAAACATTTTTGAGAATTTCTCTTTTTTTGGGGGGGCAGCACTTAGGGGTTATTGGATCTAGAATAATGGGTAGTGGGAAGAATGATAGAGGGAGTAGTATTTTTGGAAATTAAACAGATAATAAACAAATGCATTCGTAATTCAGATCTGGGTGGAGGAAGATTGCGTGCCTCGATGCCATTGTCGATTAAGGGGAATCAGGCCGTCCTTTTTGCTCTGCCTTCGAGAGTTTTACGTTTCAAACCTCATTGGTCAAATGTGTGACGTCGAATAACTGTACCGAGTTATGTTTTTTTTGAAGTGCTTTGACTTTTTCCGACTTTATTCACAGACGATAGTCGAGTTATCGACTTTTTTGGAACAAAATAGTCTTGTACTTATTGATATTTTTAAGTTCTCTTATAGATTTTTTTAAAATTCTCTTATAGAAAATTTTCGAAAAATTCTGAAATGGAATATTTTCATAAATAGTTACTTAGTTAGTTCGTTAGAAAGTTAGTTAATTAGTTAGTCCGTTTCCTCTTTTATTAGCGACTTTTTAACTTGTTTCGAAACAAATTGTTTTACATATGTATGTACATTTATTTAAATTGTTATTTTTTTTACCTTAAGAAAGTCGATTTTAGTTTTGTTCAATCCAATTTAAAATTTAGTTTTTATAAGTGAATTTCTAAGTTAATAACAACACCATAATACAATCATTATATGTAATAACACATAACTTATTAGTTAAACAAATTTATTTATTATCGTAATAAAGTAATTAACATTCCTACAAAATAAAATATTTTTATTTTTTGTATTAGTAATAATTCCTTAGTCTTTTTTTTTTTAATTCCATGTTCATAGCTTAGATATTTAAAGGACTTTTTTTCATTTTTTTACATAGTAATAAATTCACTATATTTTTAAACTAGTAAAATATCAATTATTCTATCCTTAAATTATTTAAACTCATAACGTATACATAAATACAACAATAACAATAAATTACATATTTGATAAATTCTTATAATATTTCATATAATCTTCAGATATAAATGTTTTATCAGTTTTACCCTTAAAAATTTCATAACTAAAGATTTTCTCTTCCGGATTGTAGTGAAACATATAGACAGTATTTAAACAGTTGACAGTAGACATGCGTTTTTCTACATTTTGTAAAAAATCATATAAAAGTCCCATACAAATTGATGGCTTCCAAAAACAGTTCTGTGAAAAAAAAAAAATAAATTCTTAATATTTAAACATTAATTACATAAATATTCTAACATAAATTTACCTTGGGCAGATTTCTTGCTGTTATATTTTCTATGGGTTCTTCTATAATTCCATTTTTGTTTTTATAGCCAACATAAATATCTTTGACATTGGCTAAATACGATTGTAGCCAATATTTTAAATATTTATTATCTTTATTTTTAATTGTTTTCCACATTTGCTTAGTGAAAACAAAACGGCAATCATTGAGAGCTACCAAATCATCACTAAATAAAGATAAATAATTATTTATAGCGGAAACATTGTCTTTTGTATTAATTAATTAATAATTACAAATCTTTAATTTTTTCTTGTGAAATAATTCCTTGTATTTCGCCCGAGTAAATAATATCATATTTACCAAAGTTACTTCTATGTACCCCAACAAGTACAATGTTTTCATCACAGGGTTCATTAGTTTTTCCTGGCTTATCGGGTGAATCTAATACGATTAAAAAATTGAAAACTATATGAATATATTGTTCATTTACTACAAGACTGGCATAATCCAAAATATTTCTGTATTTCTTACAGATTTATCAAATGTCTAGAAGTGTTTACGAATATTAGATAAATAAAAATTAAATTTCAATTTAGATGCGAAATCTCTAACTGAATCTGGTTTAATTTTTCAAATCCCTTGATCTGTTTAAACTTTAAAAGTTATTAAAAAAATAGTTACATGTACATTCAAACCCGTTTTTCTGAAAACGATTTTTTTGGATTATGCCTGTCTTGTAGTACAACATATATTTTCCAAACTTACCAGTAAATAAAAATTTCTCTAATTGGATATGATGTGTATTACACGGTTTCAATTCACTCAATGAATCATCTAATTCTTCTCTCACCATATAAATATTGCCATTATAACGCGATACACGTATAGATAACTTATCATATTGTTTATTATAATATGATTCCATTATATGGACTAAAGTACCACGTCTTGTTATGACTTTTGTTTTCTCAACATCCCGACATTCGCCGTTACATTTCATCTCATATTTAAGCAACAATTCAATATATTGTGAACGTATAGAAGATTTTCGTCTTATGTATGTTTCAAAACCGGCATTTAAATCAATTGGATATTGACGAGGAGTTGGATTTCTATAATACATAATTCGCTTGGCTGGAGTGATTTTTCCATGATTATATTCGTAGTAGGCCACCAAACGGGGAATTGTGAAATACACATTCATCTTTTCATATTGTTTTAAAGTTTGTGGTGTTATTTTATATGAAAATTTAGCTTTCTTTGATTTTGTTTCCATTTTATAATATTTATTTTGTGATGTTTTAATTTATTTTATTGAATGGATTCTCTCAGTTTACTAACTCCGCAGTTACACCTACAAGTTTTTCTATCAAGTTTATTTATCACAGTGTTACCATTTATAGCCCGATCTGCTGAAATGATTTGAACAAAAAAACCTCATAGAAAATCTAACATGTAAAACGAATTATCAACGTTGAAAATAAAGTTAAAAGTTTCCTTACTTTTATCCTATTTACCTTTTTCAATGCTGCCACCCCACTATCATAGGGTATACAGAGCCGCCACGAGCAAAAAACTATTTCTATTTTCCAACACAAGTTTCACACTATTTTTTTTAGCTGTATTTTATATATCTCTTCATGCACAAGTTTCACAAAAGCTAGACAACGTCTGATTTTAGACTTTTTTAACGTCAAATGTGACAACTCTGTATACTTTGTACCATTATGTTTGCAACTCGATGTATTATAATATAAAGTTCATGATACAATTAATATCAAGTGTACACTGATAACGTTTGTGTATTCGAATTTCTGACTTCCCCGAATTATTTTATTTTTATAAGTTTTCTGTACATGTTGCATATTACAACACATTAAATAAATCAGCTGGGCTACCACCAGACCTGATAAGGTTGTACATTTTATTGGTACAAATAAATGCTTAAAAGTACCATTGAAGCATTTAATACGAGTTTGTATATCATTCTACATAGACTATCATTCTAATTTGGCACAATTTATAAAAATCCATTGTCATCCCCGGTTACCATAGGGTTCTATAAATCGACTTTCGAATAATCGAACAATCGACTTTTTGTCGAAAAAAGTCGAAGTCGACTATTTTGTTCCAAAAAAGTCGATAACTCGACTATCGTCTGTGAAAAAAGTCGAAAAGTCGACTTTGTTAATAAAAGTCGAAAAAACGAAAAAAGTCGATATGTCGAAAAAATTCGAAAAGTCGTAAAAAGTCGAAAAGTCGAAAAAAGTCGGAAAAAGTCGACTATTTATAAAATACTTATAGTCGAAAAGTCGACTTTTCGACTTTTTGCTTTTTATAAAAAGTCGATTTTTCGACTTTTTTCATTTAATTCGACTATTTTCACAGACGATAGTCGAGTTATCGACTTTTTTTTTGGAACAAAATAGTCGACTTCGACTTTTCGACTTTTTTCGACAAAAAGTCGATTGTTCGATTATTCGAAAGACGATTTATAGAACCCTACTAGTTACCATTCAATACAATGTCATTCATCATAAAATAATATACAAACTAAACCAGTGTTATCTTGTTGATTTTAGCCTTTATGAATCGAATTACAGCAAAACGTCAACCTTTAGACTTTTCTATTAGCAAATTGTACAAAGTTATGGTTGTACTAAAGGTGGTATTAGAAGACATGTATTTTACATATGTACTGTCACTTTTTTATCCAAATGTATTTCAGAATGTATGCCAAAATTGTCATTTGTCAAAAAAAAAAAAAAAAAATTATTTCATATTTGTTTATGTTTGTCACGCAAAAATAGAGCGAAAAAATTACATATGTATGTTTGTATGTATTTCCACATGTATTTTACACATGTAATGTTTCATATGTATCAAACGATATCTACAACATTTACAGATGGAAATTTTGACAGTACATACATATGTATGTAAAATACACGTCATGTGATAACACCTTAACCAAAGTTCTTATGGTTCTAAATAGGGTTCTATAGTTGAAACGAAAAGTCGACTTTTCGACTTTTTTCATTTAGTTAAAATTCGACTTTTTGCATTTTATGAAAAGTCGATTTTTCGACTTTTTTCTTTTAATTAAAAGTCGACTTTTAGACTTTTCGACTATAAGTATTTTATAAATAGTCGACTTTTCGACTTTTTCTGACTTTTTTCGACTTTTTCCGACTTTCCGCTTATTGACTATTTTCGACTTCTTTCGAATTTTTTTCGACTATTTGACTTTTTTCGAGTTTTTCCGACTATTTTAGAGTTTTTGACTTTTTTTTCCACTTTTTTAAAATATCCGACTATTTTTTACTTTTTTCTACAATTTTCGACTTTTTTTGACTTTTTCGGACTTTTTTCGACTTATTGACTATTTTCGACTTCTTTCGAATTTTTTTCGACTATTTGACTTTTTTCGAGTTTTTCCGACTATTTTAGAGTTTTTGACTTTTTTTCCACTTTTTTAAAATTTCCGACTATTTTTTACTTTTTTTTACAATTTTCGAGTTTTCGACTTTTTCTGACTTTTCGACTTTTTTCGACTTTCAGACTCTTCGACCTTTTTCGACTTTTATTAACAAAGTCAACTTTTCGACTTATTTTACAGACGATAGTCGAGTTATCAACTTTTTTGGAACAAAATAGTCGACTTCGACTTTTTTCGACAAAAAGTCGATTGTTCGATTATTCGAAAGTCGATTTATAGAACCCTAGTTCTAAATATGTAGGAGGAAAAGTCGAAAAGCCTACAATTTCGAAATTATAAAAAGTCGATTGTGTGAAAGTACCTACCCCATTTGTTTGCAAATACCCTACACCACCATAGAGTGGAGGGTATTATGCGTTTGTGCTGAATACCCAAAAATATTGGCCCTATAATCAAAACCATTTTCAAGTCAATTAAGCAATGTTCCATGTTAAACAAATAATGTAGATTATCTTTATCAGAAAAACCCGCCCTTAATGGTTCAAATCCTGATCCGTAACTTTGATCAAATTTAGCAGTTAATTGTTCAGTAAAGTTAATTTCAAATAATCTGAACACTGGCAAAAAATAATATTTAATTACATGATATCTTTATTTAAAATATTTCTTAAAATTCACAATATTCTTTATATTCATCCATTATAAAAGACTTTTCAGTTTTGCCTTCATAAATCTGGTAACTAATGCAATTTATGTTACGTTTTATCTTAAATACATAGACCGTATTTAAACAGTTGACATTGGACATTAGATTTTCAATACGTTGCAGAAAATCAAATAGGAATGCCTCACCAATCGATAATTTTTCAACAAGATGCTGAAAAAATAAAAAAAAAATAATAAAATTTGCTCTAAAAATAGGCTTTAGTTATATTAACCTTGGGAAAATTTTTTACAATTTTATGTTCCAGTGGTAGTGTAACGATACCTTTCCTATTCTTATAGGCCACGAATATGTCATTGACTTTACTTAAATGGGCATGAAATAAATAATGTAAAAATTTTTGACTTTTAAAGTCAATATCATTCCACATTTGTTTAATTAAAACAAAACGACATTTATTAAGTTGATCCATATTGTCACTGAAAAAAGTAGAGAAATAAGATTAAACTAAACAACAAGTTGTTTGTTGTCATTATAGGTAGTAGTATTCATACAAATCTTTAAAATTTTGTTTGGCTATGATGCCCTGTACTGATCCAGAGTATATTATATCGTATTTTTTTAAATTACTACGAAATACTGCAAGCAATTCTTTATTTTCATTCCAAGGTTCTTTAATATTTGGTTGATCATGTGGTGAATCTAAAAATCAATTTTATATTATGTATGAAGGTACATAGTTTCAACATATTAAGGCGTAAACTTATATACCTGCCAAAAAATATCTTTTTATCTGATTGTGATGTGTTTCAGTAGGGGACTCTACTACCTTATCGCCTTCCATTTCTTCGGACTTTTGGGAATCTCCAGTAATCATATAGATATTTCCTCTATAACGTGTCACACGTATTAATAGTTCTCTGTCTTTTTTGCTACGTATAGATTCCATTATATGAACCAGTGTACCGGAACGGGTAAACACTTTGGTTTTATTTTTTATTTCAGGCTCTTCAGGAGAAGACATGACATATTTAAGGCACAAATCAACACCTTTAGAATACAGTGATGTCATTACATATTCTTTATATCCATCATTTAGGTCTATTTTATAACTCCCTCTTGGTGGTTCTATAAAATATCGAATTCTTGTTGCTGGTTTAATATTTTTAAAAAGTCTTTCATAATATGCAACAATACGAGTATTTGAAAAATGCACGAAATCATTCTTGTATTTATGTATTTCTTTTGCGGTAACTTTAAATAAGAATTTTGTAGAAACTTCGTCCATTTTGTATTGAGGTTTAAGTGGAAATGTCTACATTTATGAATAATATTGTATTTATAACCCAAACTGTAGATGTTAGAGCATCGTGTGTATTCATTTTTAATGGGGGAAGTACCAGTTTAATACTTGTTCTAAAGGTAAAATCAGTGTACACTTAATAAGGTAGCCTCGTCGCTACAACAATACAAAAACAACAGGCGATTTGTTATTGTAAAATAATTACATCTGTCAAAATAAACTGCATGCGGAGAATGAAAAAGCAACAAATAAACACAATAAAAATATGAGTTTTTAGCAAATATTTAAAATTTTAACTATTAATATTAATATGTATATTAAATTAATTAAACCTGGAATGCCTGAAAATCATAACTATAACTATTGGGAAGACAAATTTAGCGAATAAAACTAGCTTTTTGTGAAAAGTAATTGGACGTGCTAAAAATTGTTGAATCTAATTTGGAAAGTATGCCGGAACAAAAGATTTTCTTATTTTATCAAGGGAGGAGGACAACAAAGACATTTAATCACAATTGACCTAGAAAACTTATTTAAAAACATAATTTTCTTCACTTTTTAAAATTTTTTACAACTTTTGCTATTTTTCCTTAATGTAAACAAACAGGAATTTTGACAGATAAGATTGTAACAGCTGTTGTACATATACAGTGAATCAATTAAGTAATTTGCCTATGTAAAATTTTATAAATTTTAAGAAAAAACTTTATCTGAACAATTATTTTTAGCAAAATAAAGCAATTTGTTTGTTGTATTTTTTAAAGAATATCTTATATTTTAATTTTCTACCATAAAAAGTAAAATCGTGATATTAATTAACGAGATTTTTGATAAAATCTGAACGTATTGTTAATTTTTAAGGTCAATGAAGTATTTTGCTTTTTTAGGTTTTTTGTTAATTTTTTTAATATTGCTGCATTATTTTATAAAATTTTATATTTTTATTACTCCTATATATTAGAATAACATTTTTTAGATATTTTAGTAGTGGAACGACTAAGTTTAGACATTTCTTAGCCGAGTTATTATCCTATATACCTATAAGAATTTTTCAATATCTGACTTAACATGAAATCTATCGTTTCTTTGATTAAATTTCGAAAATAATAAGTAATTTTGAATTGGACACATGATATATTAGGAAATCAATGGATTTGGACCTAGAAAAAAATATTAGTGGGGTATAAATCTATAGATTATAACAAAAAAAATCTGGGTTTTTTGTCATTTTGTATTGATAAACAAAAACTACACTACGGAAACCCCATCTATTTGGGGAGTACTGTGTGAATTTTATTTAGAATTGTATAATATTGATTCTTATTCAATAAAGCTAACACTAAGTACTATCCTAGCCACTCTAAGTATGGGGATATCACCGTATACCACTATAGAACTATTACATGCTAGAATTTTGATATTCTACCTCATATTTTGAATGCATTATTTTATGAATAAAATACAGTAGGCGTAGCTGGATTTGGATAGTTATTCTTGATTTGGGTTCTAACTATATATAAGTGTATGTATTAGCTGAAAAATATTGCTTTTGTGGATCTTAGGTAATGAGAACCGCCTCTATTTGTAAATACCTAAATTAAGTATTTTTCCCGTACCACACGATAGTTCACTTTATATTGTTTCCAAGCAACCTAAGGTCTGTTTAGAGGTCTAAATTTAAACATAGTGTTCTTTTAAGTTCGTATACGGACTTTGGAGAAGATAAATGAGGACTTCAATGGTTTTTGCTTGGATACAAGTCGCTCTCCTTTGGCAGTTAAAGATTTTGAAAGACAACTCAGTGCGTTTTTTTTAATAATTCTTTGTGTTAATTCATCAATTTCTATATTTTATATTTTTTAATGATTGATTAAACATCTCATAATTGAATTCCATTGATTTATACTTGTTCTAAAAATCTAAATTAATTTTTTATATTGGAATTGCCTCATTATTTCCCTTTAAACATTTTTAACGCAAATAACTACACAGTTTCACACAATAAGGATATGATTTTTGAAAATTCCAATTGAAAAATACTTAACACGTGTCCTTTTAACAATAAAACAATAAATTTCAAAAAGCAATTAAAAAATAATTTGAAAAACCCAACGAAATTAACTGGAAATTTCAATATGCAAAATACTTTATTGACGTGCAAATTCTGATGAAAAATAATAAAATGCTACAACAAATGCACCAACATTTTTATTTTAATATTTTTTTCTTGGTTTTCCCATTCTACACAATCTCTATTTTCAATTGGAAAACATAAATTTACTTTTTACCTGTTTTTTTGAATTTTATTTATGAACAAAAAACTAAATTCTCTTAAAAAAAGGTAGGCAAAAAACTTAGTTGATTCACTGTACGTACATAGGATGTCCCAAAAGTATCAATGTTCCTCTGATGTGTCTAGTATTGTAAATAAGTGCCTAAACCATAGTCCAATCAAATAATGGCAATATCTGCAAGAAAACGTTTAAAAATTGCTAAATAGCACTATTCTTGCTGTACTAATTACTAAAACGTTATTTACTAATAAATGAAATAAATACTTAAAACACTTGTACAAACTTTTTTTTTTTCTAATTTTATTTTTAATTAAAAAAATAAATAAAAATTTCACTTAAATTAGAAAACTAATTGCAATAAACCAAAACTTAAGCTTTTTGAGCCAGACTATTGCTACGATTATGTTGACGTTGCATTTCCAATTGTTTCACTCTGGTATAGGCAGCACTTGCCACTAAAACTACAATATTTGAGGTCCACCATAAGAATGATTTAGTTTCATTGTACCACTGGCAAGCTATCACAGTTTGGGCACAAGCTTTAGCTGTCCCCGAAATATTATGGGTCAAAGGTGAAGTGACCTGAAAGGAAATTGAAACAGAAAATTAAAGAAATTTCATAATATTTATACATTATAGTATGTACCTTTATTTGTAGGGCTGTTACAAAGCCAATGGCGAAACCACATAGGCCACCTATTAACATGGTTAAAACAAACCAAAATTCGAAAATATTTTTATAGGTTATTATAGCCTCCAGTTCTCCATTAAGTATTATCAAAGGCAAAAATAAAACCGATGAATACAAATTATTGTAATAACTCAGCAGCCAAACTTCTTGATTTACATGCTGTAAAGCTTTTTTAGTATGAATTGAATACATAGCCAGGGCCAAAGAACCCAATACACCAAATACGGTGCCACGCCAGGAGAATGATTCTGTTAGTGATTCCTGATCCACGCCCAACATAAAACCGGCTACTATACCAGCACAACAAATTATAGAGGCGAAACTAGTTTTTTGTTTCAACAAAACATAAGTTAGCACTACATTGAAGACAGTGGTTAAGGAGCGGCCGACATAGTAAAAAGCTACTCCCACATATTTCAGGCAGAGGTTATTTGTACCCACCATTAAGGTAAATAAAATTGATAAAGGTAAAATCTGTAAAAAGGTGAAAGTAACATATTAATATAGGATCAACTGAAAAAAAAGAAAAAAATCACCTTCCTGAAAGTATCAATATCCAATGGATTTCCCTCAGGAAAACTAATAACATTGGGATACTGTTTACCCAAACGGCTCATAACGAAACATATTATAGCACTAACAACACACTGAAACCATGTAACAAAAAGAGGTGCTTCCAGTTTGACGCTATCACTGCTTAGTAAATGCTTATTTACAAAAACGGTTAAAATAGAAATGCACCTAGGAAATGGAAAATAGGCACATGCATCATCAAATGAATTTAACTGATAAGAATTTTACAGAAAATTATTAAAAAACACACCAGTAGAGAGCTACAACTAAAAATACTTTTATATATTTGCCCACTAAAGTTGTGGGCTGTTTGGTTTCTTCCAATTTTTGATACATTTTGTTTGTTTAGTTAAATATAGTTTTGTCAATTTATTTGTTTTATTTCAATTTAAATCATATTTTTTCTAAAATTAGTAAAATTGTATGTTATTATTACTACTATTTTTTATTTATATTCAGAGCCCTACGCCGACAGACATTAACGACAGCGGCGGCTGAAAATCGACTCTAAGCCGGCTGCTAACTTTTCAGCTGTATTTTTACATTTTCCAATTATAATAAAAACAGAATCCGAGTGATTAAAAAGTGGGATTTGGCAGCAAATATTTTAAAAATCGTTATTTTTTAAATTGCCATATATATAATATCGAGACTTGATACAACTTAATATAAAAAACAATATTGTACTGTGTTTAATGTATGTAAGTAAAATCAGTTTTGAAATTTTTTGTCATACATATTTTCAGATAAATCTGAACCACATAGGTACATACATAATTCATTCTTTGAAAGATAGCCGAAATCTTTCTTTTGCTGAACATTCTAAAAAACATATTTAAAAAATATAGGAATAATCAAGGAATTTACCCATTTTTAACCCTTAAATATTATAATTTCCAAAAATTCTGTTTTAGAGGATCTATTTAGTGGAACTCCAGTCCAATTTTTTTTATAGTTGCAAAAATAAAAACACAAATTTTGATTTTTGAGCCAGGAACATCATCATACTAAGTTATCATACATTCCCATGTATTTCTTTATGGTATATAATATAGTCTTCATGCCCAGTGTCGCCAAATTTGGGGATTTGTCCCCAAATTGGGGATTTCATGTGTTATTTTCGTGATAGGGATTTGGGGATTTTTTATGATTTTTCTGCTATTTTTCGTGATTTGTATATTTCTTATAAATATTAACAATGCATTCTAGTTGTTTTTTTATATATATAAGGGTCGTTTTAAAATATTTCAAACAGGGTTCGCACCTTACCCTCTCCGACTTGGAGAAATACTCTTTTAATAAATACAAAATACAATTGATTTTATAATTAATAATTTATTGTTTATTTTTTAATTCTTTGTTATATGATTATATTTTTTATGTATAATTTTTTTTTAAGTAGAAATTTGTAACCGATTATGGCCAATAGGCTAGGTTTATTTTGGAAAATCAATTTAATTAAATTAAAAT